AGCAGGAATCGCAACTTGGGCATCCATGACGGATGGCCAGCCATGGTCTCTCAGTCTGACCATCCCTGCAGGGTTGTTGCGAGAAAGGAACCTGGAAAGGGCAGAACCATGTTGAAAGGGCAGGACTCCTTGAGCTCCTGGGAGCAACAGCAGAACTTGCAAGTGTCAGTCTTTTCCAGGGACAGTACCAGATTTACAGAAGTTGTCCCGGTTTCTGATTGGATCCTGGAATGTCCCACTTTTTCCTGGGGAAATGTTGGAGGGGATGGAATAAGATGCCCCTGTTTTCATCAAGGAAATGTTGGAGGGGATGGAATAGGACATCCCTATTTTCACGGGAGAAATGTTGGAGGGGTGGAATAGGACGCTCCAAGACTTTGGCCACCTCATGAGAAGAGAAGACTCCCTGGAAAAGACCCTGATGTCCCATGGACTGCAAGAAGATCAAACCTCTCCAGTCTTAAGAAAATCAGCCCTGAGTGCTCACTGGAAGGACAGATCCTGAAGCTGAGGCTCCAAGACTTTGGCCACCTCATGAGAAGAGAGGACTCCCTGGAAAAGACCCTGATGTTGGGAAAGATGGAGGGCACAAGGAGAAGGGGACGGCAGAGGACGAGATGGTTGGATAGTGTTCTCAAAGCTACCAGCATGAGTTTGACCAAACTGCGGGAGGCAGTGGAAGACAGAAGTGCCTGGCGTGCTCAGGTCCATGGGGTCACAAAAAGTCGGACACGACTAAAGGACTAAACAACAACAACAACAACAACATTTTCACGGGAGAAATGTTGGAGGAGGTGGAATGGGACAGTGGCCAGCAAACCTTTTTAGCCGTGGGCTAAAAGATCTGTCGCTCAGATCTTGTGGGGGGCCAGACCATATTTTGGAAAAAAATAAAGAACAAATTCCTATGCCCCACAAATAACCCAGAGTTGCATTTTAAATAAAAATACACATTCTACTCATGTAAAAACATGCTGATTCCCAGAACGTCCACAGGCCGAATTGAGAAGGCGATTGGGCCGGATCTGGCCCCCAGGCCTTAGTTTGCCTACCCATGAAAGAGGACGTCCCTATTTTCATCAGGGAAATGTTGGAGGGGATGGACTAGGATGTCCCTGTTTTCATCAGGGAAATGTTGGAGGGGATGGAACAGCGATATAGAAATGTAATAATAATAATGGTAATATGGAAAACTTGAATTCACTCATGATGTGAAATCAAACATATAATTAAGTACGTGGATGGATTAACAGTATGTAATTGTTTATTGCCGTAATAAGTTGCATTAGCAGGGGTTAAGGTCCTCCTGACCTGTCTGGCGTAGCCTTGATCTGAAGCCAGGACATACCTATTAAATCTCTTTTCAAACAATAAAAGTTTATAGGAGTCTGTTTACCAGGCCAGACTCTCTGCTCACCAGAGTTTGCTTTCAAGCCGAGAGACAGTTTACAAAAGGGTTCTTAGGTGTTTCTCGGAGCTAAAGGGCGGAGATACGGAATCTGTTAAATAAATAACGCTCATGAATAAATAAGGAGAGATTATTATTGGATGGCTTCCAGGAACACCATTGTCTTGGCTGCGAGAGACAGGCGAAATCGCTGGTGAGCAAACTTATCCCGGGGAAGCAGCTGAAGGTTGTGTCTGCTACTGCTATTGAATCGAGACTGATAACAGAAGCTGCAGTGTTCCAGCTCTGTTTTTTCATTCAAGGATGATTTAAGCGGATGCAAGGTTTTGTATTGTTTGAGCATCCTCTGCAACATTTCTCTGATGAAAATAGGGACACCCTATTCTCTCTTTTACGAAGATCATGGCCACTGGTCCCATCACCTCCTGGCAAACAGAAGGCGAAGAAATGGAGGCAGTGAGAGATTTTAATTTCTTGGGCTCCATGATCACTGCAGATGGTGACAGCAGCCACGAAATTAAAAGACACCTGCTTCTTGGGAGAAAAGCAATGACAAACCTAGACAGCATCTTAAAAGGTAGAGACATCACCTTGCCAACAAAGGTCCGTATAGTAAAAGCTATGGTTTTCCCAGTAGTGATGTATGGAAGCAAGAGCTGGACCATAAAGAAGGCTGATCGCCGAAGAATGGATGCTTTTGAATTCTGGTGCTGGAGGAGACTCTTGAGAGTCCCATGGACTGCAAGAAGATCAAACCTCTCCATTCGGAAGAGGTGGGACAGTGTTCTCGAAGTTACCAAACTGCAGGAGGCAGTGGAAGACAGGAGTGCCTGGCGTGCTCTGGTCCATGGGGTCACGAAGAGGCGGACACGACTAAACGAGTAAACAACAACAACATTCTCTCTTTTATTTGATAATCATTTTTATTAGTTTTCAATTACAATCCAAGAATAGCCTCATGATAACAATACCATTTTACAACACAATTATTAATACCGAATTGTGGCTGTAAGCTGTCTTGAGCGCCTCTTAGGTGGGAAAGGCAGGATACAACAACAACAACAATGGAAACTGTGAGAATGATTGGGAAAATACCAGAGTATAAATCCTATTAAACACAGTGGGACATAGATCTGAGTCAATATGCTGCCCAGGCTAGGCTCTGTTACTTGGGAGTAAGCTCTAGTGAATACAGTGGGACTTACTTCAGCGTAGACAGTATCAGATTCCATTTACAATACAGTGGTACCTTGGTTCTCAAACTTAATCCGTTCAGGAAGTCCGTTCCAAAACCAAAGCGTTCCAAAACCAAGGCGCGCTTTCCCATAGAAAGCCATGCAAAACAGATTAATCCGTTCCAGACTTTTAAAAACAACCCCTAAAGCAGCAATTGAACATGAATTTTACTATCTAACGAGACCACTGATCCATAAAATGAAAGCAATAATCAATGCCCTGTTTGCTGTTGTTGTTGTTGAGTCGCTTAGTCATGTCCGACTCTTCGTGACCCGCTGGACCAGGCACTCCTGTCTTCCACTGCCTCCCGCAGTTTGGTCAAACTCATGCTGGTAGCTTCGAGAACACTGTCCCACCATCTCGTCCTCTGTCCTCCCCGTCTCCTTGTGCCCTCCATCTTTCCCAACATCAGGGTCTTTTCCAGGGAGTCTTCTCTTCTCATGAGGTGGCCAAAGTCTTGGAGCCTCAGCTTCAGGATCTGTCCTTCCAGTGAGCACTCAGGGCTTATTTCCTTCAGAATGGAGAGGTTTGATCTTCTTGCAGTCCATGGGACTCTCAAGAGTCTCCTACAACACCATAATTCAAAAGCATTAATTCTGTAGTGTAAAATAAATAAGACAGTATTGTAGATGACAAAAATTGAATTTTTTATTTCTTACCTGATGATAGTCATTGTTTGCATGGGGGGCTTTTATCCATTTCCACAGTCACACAATCAATCCACCAGTAGCTGAACTGGGTTCCACACAGTCCCAAAAATAAATGAACTGAAAAAGCCTCAAAAAGAAAAACGCAAAATAGCAAAAACAAAAGCGCCAAACCTAATCAGTTCTGGAAGTCCGTTTGACTTCTGAAATGTTCGAAAACCAAGGCGCAGCTTCTGATTGGTGCAGGCGCCCCGGAAACAATAGCCGACAGCCACATTGATGTTCGGCTTCTGAAAAATACAGTATTAGAAAACTGGAACACTTACGTCTGGGTTTTTAGAGTTTGGGAACCAAAGTGTTTGAGAACCAAGGTACCACTGTAAGAATAAACATGTGTGGCTCACCACCGAGACCATTCCATTGAAGCTATCCAACCTCCCAAAATTTCAACACCTCTTGCGACGATTTGACCCCTTTCCGTTTTAAAAATACAAATTCTACACTCTCCATATCTCCTCCAAATCATTTCTGCTGCGTATTACCCGTCCTACCTTAATGGCAAGATGTTAATTATATAGCTATATACCCCACACCGCTTCACATCATTCTTGTATTTTATATTCTGCTTCCCCCTTCCACTTCCTAGCTATCATAATTCGTGAAGCTGTCAATAAATTTGTGAGGTTCTCTATTTGGTCGCTAGAGGGCAACCCAAGCCCTCAACTAAATACTTGCAGCCCGGGTGAAAGAATTTGAGGACTGGAAATGGGATTTTTGAAGGCTCAGAAGTGGTTTAAATCCATTGCCTCATTTACACCTGGTATTGCCTCAGGTTGAACAGGCTGTGACCAGGGCCAGATTTAGGTTTGATGAGGCCCCAAGCTACTGAAAGTAATGGGGCCCTTTATATGTCCAGCTGTCCTTTGTCAACAACAAATTGCCACTGTTTTTTGTGTTGAATATAACCACTGTGGCACTTGGGCTTGCCGATCGAAAGGTCGGCGGTTCGAATCCCCACGACGGGGTGAGCTCCCATTGCTCAGTCCCTGCTCCTGCCAACCTAGTAGTTTGAAAGCACGTCAAAGTGCAAGTAGATAAATAGGTACCGCTCCGGCGGGAAGGTAAACGGCGTTTCCGTGCGCTGCTCTGGTTCGCTAGAAGCGGCTTAGTCATGCTGGCCACATGACCCGGAAGCTGTACGCCGGCTCCCTCGGCCAATAAAGTGAGATGAGCGCCGCAACCCCAGAGTCGGCCACGACTGGACCTAACGGTCAGGGGTCCCTTTACCTTTTTAAAGGCATTTGCACATAACAAAATAACCAGTCCATGCAGAATGTAGGCACCCTATATATAGAAAGGAGCAGATCAGTGATATTTTAGGGAGCAGGCGAGCAGGCGGGGCCCATGACTTACATCAAAGGAGCCTACACAACACAAAACACTGTTGCTGTATGTAGGTTTTATTGTGTTTGTTTTTTATCTTATATTTTGGAAATGTATATCCAGGGTTTTTTTTCCTTTAAATTTTTTGGGGGCCCCCAAGAGAGTGGGGCCCAAAGCTATAGCTTGTTTAGCTTATACGTGAATCCGGCAATGCCTGTGCAGCAGTGTGTTCCAAAAATTGGGTCTCCAACTTTTGGGGGAGACTACAAATCCCATCATCCCGAGCTAGAGAGAAATGTTGGAGGGGATGGAATAGGACGTCCTATGGTGCTGGAGGAGACTCTTGAGAGTCCCATGGACTGCAAGAAGATCAAACCTCTCCATTCTGAAGGAAATCAGCCCTGAGTGCTCACTGGAAGGACAGATCCTGAAGCGGAGGCTCCAAGACTTTGACAACCTCATGAGAAGAGAAGACTCCCTGGAAAAGACCCTGATGTTGGGAAAGATGGAGGGCACAAGGAGAAGGGGACGACGGAGGACGAGATGGTGGGACTGTGTTCTCGAAGCTACCAGCATGAGTTTGACCAAACTGCGGGAGGCAGTGGAAGACAGGAGTGCCTGGCGTGCTCTGGTCCAGGGGGTCACGAAGAGTCGGACATGACTAAGCGACTCAACAACAACAACAGCAAACAGGGCATTGATTATTGCTTTCATTTTATGGATCAGTGGTCTCGTTAGATAGTAAAATTCATGTTCAATTGCTGCTTTAGGGGTTGTTTTTAAAAGTCTGGAATGGATTAATCTGTTTTGCATGGCTTTCTATGGGAAAGCGCGCCTTGGTTTTGGAACACTTTGGTTTTGGAACGGACTTCCCAAATGGATTAAGTTTGAGAACCAGTGTTCTCGAAGCTACCAGCATGAGTTTGACCAAACTGCGGGAGGCAGTGGAAGACAGGAGGGCCTGGCATGCTCTGGTTCATGGGGTCACAAAGAGTCGGACACGGCTAAACGACTAAAGAACAACAATTTTCATCAGAGAAATGTTGGAGGGGGTGGAATAGGACGCACCTATTTTCATCGGACAAATGTTGTAGGGGATAGAGTTATCTGACCCCCGAGCCATCTGAACTTAGGCTTGTGTGGGGAAGTTTTAAAATGTTTTATCATGATTTTATATATGTAGGAAGCCATCAGAGTGGCTGGGGCAACCCAGTATAAATAGTAGAAGTATTATTATGGAATCAGACGTCCCTGTTTTCGTCAGGGAAATGTTGGAGGACATGTCTTCACGAACAGTGCAGCTAGATTCTTTTCCAAAGTGCTATGATCCTGCTTTAAATGTATGGTGTTGTGGTGCGGCCTCAATTCTGGGCTCCCTTGACTGAAAAAGAGCCTTACAGTTGGCCAGAAAAAGACCCCCCTTCCTTTACTGACCCCCTTCATCCCTCTCCCCATCCGGTCCCAGGGAGCTAGGCTTGCAGGAATTTTTATTTTATTTTATTTTTTTACGGAAATCCTGCTGGAGTTTCCAGCGGGTCCTCACCTCTCCGGGTCACAGGGAATTCATTACTGGAGGATTATAAGGGTGAGACACCTCCCCCTTACAAAAAAACAACCTCCGTCCAAAGAAAATCCTAGAGATTATTCTGAGGCCGCGCTTGAGGCCCCACATTTCAGGAGGGGCTGAATTCTGATCCACAGCTGGCTGAGAGAACGGCACATGTGGGGCATTTTCTATGGGGCAGAACGGCCGATACATTTGCCCCATCGAGGGAAGTCGGGGGATTCCGCCAGGAACCAAGACAGAGGCGGGAAAATGGCCACCTTTCCCATTCAAGGCCAGCGATTTGCTGTCGCTGTTTCTTTCCGCCCCCTGCAACAGACAGGTTGCAGAAAAAAAGAAAGGGGAGGAAAATTAGTTCACGAAAATACGTCGCAAAGATGCCATTACGGGGTGTTTAATAACATGTTGCCAAAGGGCTGTGAACACTTCTTTGCTGTTTGGTGGGTTTTATGATACAGGGCTCAGCAAACTTTTTCAGCAGGGGGCCGGTCCACTGTCCCTCAGAGCTTGTGGGGGGCCGGACTATATTTTGGAAAGAAAAAAAAAAAGAACGAATTCCTATGCCCCACAAATAACCCAGAGATGCATTTTAAATAAAAGGACACATTCTACTCATGTGAAAACACGTTGATTCCCAGACGGTCCGCGGGCTAGATTGAGAAGGCGATTGGGCCGGATCTGGCCCCCGGGCCTTAGTTTGCTTACCCCTGGTTTTATCTAATATACAGCAAAGGACTCCACACACACACACACACACACACACACACACACCGAACTCCAATATGAAATTTGGCTTTCCCGATGGTCTTAAGCACTTTACTGACCTAATATTCTCTCCTGGATAGAGGGTGCTGGGTTTTGGTATTTCTGTTATTTGTGTTTTATTCTTTGATTTGTTTCAATAAAGAAATGGGTGGCGGGGACATAAAAACCCCCAAATACAAATAAGGAAATATAGGAAACGGCTCTGCGATTTGCTGAACTGATATATTAGTACAGTCGTACCTTGGTTTTCGAACAGCTTAGTTCCCAAACGTTTTGGCTCCTGAATGCTGCAAACCCGGAAGTGACGGTTCCGGTTTGCAAACTAATTTTGGAAGTTGAACGTCTGACGGGGCTTCCGTGGCTTCCAATTGGCTGCAGGAGCTTCCTGCAGCCAATCAGAAGCCGTGCTTTGGTTTCCGAACGTTTTGGAACTCGAACGGACTTCTGGAATGGATTCCATTCGACTTCCGAGGTACGACTGTCAATGGGAATCTAAATGGGCAGCTCCAACAAAATATTAAAAACACAATTTAAAAAAACCCCATCATTAAAAGCTGCCTTTTAAAAGCCAGATAATTATACAGTGGTACCTCTGGTTATGTACTTAATTCATTCCGGAGGTCCGTTCTTAACCTGAAGCTGTTCTTAACCTGAAGCACCACTTTAACTAATGGGGCCTCCCCCTGCTGCTGTGCCGCTGGAGCACGATTTCTGTTCTCATCCTGAAGCAAAGTTCTTAACCTGAAGCACTATTTCTGGGTTAGTGGAGTCTGTAACCTGAGGCGCATGTAACCTGAAGCGTATGTAACCTGAGGTACCACTGTAAATATATGAGATATATATAAAGGACTGAATTAAAATTAAAACTGAATTGAATTAAAAATCACCCACGTTCTCCTGCAAAATAAACTTAATTCACATACAGTTCACCCAGAAATGATCACTACTTTTGTGTGCAATTCAGAAGGCATTTTTTAAAATAACAGTAAGAAGGCTGATCGCTGAAGAATGGATGCTTTTGAATTCTGGTGCTGGAGGAGACTCTTGAGAGTCCCATGGACTGCAAGAAGATCAAACCTCTCCATTCTGAAGGAAATCAGCCCTGAGTGCTCACTGGAAGGACAGATCCTGAAGCTGAGGCTCCAAGACTTTGGCCACCTCCTGAGAAGAGAAGACTCCTTGGAAAAGACCCTGATGTTGGGAAAGATGGAGGGCACAAGGAGAAGGGGACGACAGAGGACGAGATGGTGGGACAGTGTTCTCGAAGCTACCAGCATGAGTTTGACCAAACTGCGGGAGGCAGTGGAAGACAGAAGTGCCTGGCGTGCTCTGGTCCAGGGCGTCACGAAGAGTCGGACACGACTAATGACTAAACAGCAACAACAAAATCATCATGATAATAATAATTCAGCGAATCTGTTGTTTTGTGATGGCCCGATTGCAAAGAAACGTGTTTGCTCTGCGGCAGCGACCGTCTGCGAGCATCCTTTATCCCTTCGCTTTTGAAGCACCTGAACCTAACTTGAGCTTCTAACCAGAGAGCAAAGGACAGCAAACCACGGCAGGCGCGATGGGGTGGAAGGCGTTTACTCGAGAAACTGTAAGCCAGTGTTCCAGCTCCCCAAAGCCCATGACTCATATGCGCCCCCCTCCTCATAAGTTATTTCCTGAATTCGGGGAGGGGTCCTTCCCCTCGAAATCCCGCCGGAGGGGGGAAGAGACGCCTGGCTAAGTTCACCCCGACGACGTCGGCCCCTTCTGGCACAGTATCTTCTAAAGAAAACAGCCCCACGGTCCTCTCCGCCCGGGAACAGACACAACAGGAAAGGACCATGGGGTAAGCCAGGTGCCAGAAGACCTCCTTTAGTTGGGGGTGGTGGAAGGGGGGGAAGCACCGTGCGTCCCACACCCCTCCTTGAGCTGAGGGAAAGCTGGCTGGGAAAGGAGAGGCGTTTTTCACTTCCATGGCGTGCCCAGCACCTGGAAACATGGTTCCAATCAGTCTCCGGAGGACCAGACAGGAAGTGATGTCATCTGCCTCTTCCACCCACACCTCTCCCTCAGCGTATGACATCACTCCCCAGCGCTGGGTTTTCATGAAATGCTCCTTTGATATCTCTCTCTCTCTCCGCCTCCAGAAATCTCGGGTTGCAACTGCCGTGAGTCCTGTTCCATCAGGGAAATTCAAACCTGAGCATTTCGGTGCCAGAGGGGCAAACATATATCCAGTGCCGGCCCTAATGTTTGTTGTTGTTGTTTAGTCGTTTAGTCGTGTCCGACTCTTCGTGACCCCATGGACCAGAGCAAGCCAGGCACTTCTGTCTTCCACTGCCTCCCGCAGTTTGGTCAGACTCATGTTTGTAGCTTCGAAGACACTATCCAACCATCTCATCCTCTGTCGTCCCCTTCTCCTTGCGCCCTCCATCTTTCCCAACATCAGGGTCTTTTCCAGGGAGTCTTCTCTTCTCATGAGGTGGCCAAAGTCTTGGAGCCTCAGCTTCAGCATCTGTCCTTCCAGTGAGCACTCAGGGCTGATTTCCTTCCGAATGGAGAGGTTTGATCTTCTTGCAGTCCATGGGACTCTCAAGAGTCTCCTCCAGCACCATAATTCAAAAGCATCAATTCTTCGGCAATCAGCCTTCTTTATGGTCCAGCTCTCACTTCCATACATCACTACTGGGAAAACCATAGCTTTAACTATACGGACCTTTGTTGGCAAGGTGATGTCTCTACTAACGTTAGGTCGAGGCAATTGTAGAAGCCGCCGGGCCATTTTTGCATCTGAGGCTTCTGGTCGTTGCCCTCTGCTGGAGATCTGAGCGATGGGTTGCATCCCAGTGTACTGGAAGAAGCAAATATCACCAGTGTTGAAGCAATGGTTCTTCAACGTCAACTTCGTTGGACCGGTCATGTTGTGCGGATACCTGATGATCGTCTTCCGAAGCAAGTCCTCTATTCCGAACTTAAAAATGGAAAGTGTGATGCTGGTGGTCAACAAAAGAGGTTCAAAGACTCTCTCAAGACAAATCTAAAAAAATGTGGTATAAACACAGACAACTGGGAAACACTGGCCTGTGAGCGCTCCAGTTGGAGAACAGCCTTTACCAAAGGTGTCGTGGGCTTTGAAGACACTCGAACTCAGGACGAAAGGGAGAAACGTGCTAAGAGGAAGGCACGCTTGGCAAACACTCACTGGGATCATCTCCCCCCCAGAAACCTATGTCCCCACTGTGGAAGGACTTGTGGATCCAGAATTGGTCTCCACAGTCACTTATGGACTCACTGTTAAGACCGTGTTTATGGAAGACAATCTTACTTGGCTATGAGGGATCGCCAAAGAAGAATATCCTACAACATTTCTCCTGTGAACATAGGGATGCCCTATTCAATAGTCGGGGATGCAGGTGGCGCTGTGGGTTAAACCACAGAGCCTAGAACTTGCCGATCAGAAGGTCGGCCGTTCGAATCCCCGCGATGGGGTGAGTTCCCGTTGCTCGGTCCCTGCTCCTGCCAACCTAGCAGTTCGAAAGCACGCAAAAGTGCAAGTAGATAAATAGGTACCACTCCAGCGGGAAGGTAAATGGCGTTTCTGTGCGCTGCTCTGTTTCGCCAGAAATGGCTTAGTCCTGCTGGCCACATGACCCGGAAGCTGTACGCCGGCTCCCTCGGCCAGTAAAGCGAGATGAGCGCCGCAGCCCCAGAGTAGTCCGTGACTGGACCTCATGGTCAGGGGTCCCTTTACCTTTACCTATTCAATAATAGTAGTATTATTATTAGTAGTAATAATAATGATATTTATACCCCAGCCATCTGACTGGGTTGCTCCAGCCACTCTGGGCAGCTTCCAATACATATAAAAACATAATAAAACATTAAACATTAAAAAACTTACCCATCCAGGGCTACTTTCAGATGTCTTCTAAAGGTTGTATAGTCACTTATCTCCTTGGCTCAGGGGTCGCACAACTCCAGGTCCTCCAACATTTCTCTGATGAAAATAGGGATGTCCTAAGGAAAAGCGGGACATTTCAGAATCAAATCAGAAACCGAGACGGCTTCTGTAAATATGGGGCGTTTCCTGGAATATAGGGACAGTTAGAGGGTTTGTTGTAGGCAATGTTAGTCGAACTCAGACGAAACCCATTGAAATTAACGGGCATGGTCCGCCTTAGGTCAATACATGGTTCTACTGGGAGTAGAATTTACAACCCTGCTGATCCGTGTCTGTTATGTACTGAGTTGAATAGGATCCAAAATGCAGCAGTCTGATTGGTCCTAGAACAAAAGGATCCAAAATGCAGCAGTCTGATTGGTCCTAGAACAATGCAGCAGTATGATTGGTCTGCAGGAGCCACCCAATCCGGCTCCAGGTGGAAGTGAATCCACAACCTGATAGGCCTACCTACAGGAGAATCCCGGAATTAGCCAATCACGTGCAGCCCGTTGTGTAAATAATGTATATAAAGCAGATATTGTGGGGGAACGTCCATTCCTCCTCACCACCATGAGCTGAATAAAGAGCATGAAATCCACTCTTGACTCCGAGTATATTTCAGTGTCAATGAATAACCCCCATAAAATTCCAGTGCCGCTGTAGACATGGAAGATTGGGATGACCTGGTTCACGTGGTGGAGAAAGAAACAAACATGTTCCCAGAGGGATTGCAGGACTAATAAGGGGTGGGAGTGGGGAGCAAGCGGTGGAAAACTCACAAATTAATGCGTGCAATTTGCATAATTGGCAGCAGATTTGCATAATATGCAAACCAGGCTTCCCTTTCCTTCTTCTTCTTTTTTTGCAAGGATACAGGACTTTCGCTTGCTGACCTTGCAATCTGTTCAAGGCCAAAGTCAATTGTGATAAAAACTGGGAGCTAGGCTGGCTCAAAACCAAACCTGGAAAGGCCCGGTGGATGGAGAAGAGGGTTTCTTGGTGGCCTTCCTCAGAGTTTCTTTCCCTTTCCCCACTTGTTTTGGTATTCTGCAGTTCAGCCAGCCTCGGTCCTCTCCCTCAACCCCTTCTTCGTACTTTGACTCGTTCCCTCTCGCATAATACAACAGAGTCCCTTCCAACTCCTCAGTTCTATACTGCTCCTCTATAGATAGCTTGATAGCTTCTATGGATGCTTTTGAATTCTGGTGCTGGAGGAGACTCTTGAGAGTCCCATGGACTGCAAGAAGATCCAACCTCTCCATTCTGAAGGGAATCAGCCCTGAGTGCTCACTGGAAGGACAGATCCTGAAGCTGAGGCTCCAAGACTCTGGCCACCTCATGAGAAGAGAAAACTCCCTGGAAAAGACCCTGATGTTGGGAAAGATGGAGGGCACAAGGAGAAGGGGACGACAGAGGACGAGATGGTGGGACAGTCTTCTCGAAGCTACCAGCATGAGTTTGACCAAACTGCGGGAGGCAGGGGAAGACAGGAGGGCCTGGCGTGCTCTGGTCCAGGGGGTCACAAAGAGTTGGACACGACTAAACGACTCAGCAGGGAAGCGGGTGGCGCTGTGGGTTAAACCACAGAGCCTAGGACTTGCCGATCAGAAGGTCGGTGGTTCGAATCCCCGCGACGGGGTGAGTTCCCGTTGCTCGCTCCCTGCTCCTGCCAACCTAGCAGTTCAAAAGCATGTCAAAGTGCAAGTAGATAAATAGGTACCCCTCTGGCGGGAAGGTAAACGGCGTTTCCGTGCGCTGCTCTGGTTCACCAGAAGCGGCTTAGTCCTGCTGGCCACATGACCCGGAAGCTGTACGCCGGCTCCCTCGGCCAATAAAGCGAGATGAGCACCACAACCCCAGAGTCGGTCACGACTGGACCTAATGGTCAGGGGTCCCTTTACTTTTAAACGACTCAACAGCAACAATAGATAGCCAGGGCACATTGGAGTCTCTCCTGAGCTACGGCAGATGAGTTTGCCCACTGATCTGCAGGTTTCCGGCTCAAGAGGCAGACAGAGGATTCCAGGAGTTGAAAGCAGAGGACTTCAGAATTAATACACTGCACCACACCACCCATGTGCCTGTCAAGCGCAACATTTGCAGGTCGCGGCATGTTTCGATAAACTCCTCTGACTCAAAACAGAGAAAACCACAGCTCTGTTTACATAGCAGCAATCAAAGACACATTAGATTTAATCGCATTGCAGGGGTTTGGCTGATAGGCAAATACCAATAAAATTGTCCGCTGGCATCATGAAAGGTAATTGAGAGAAGGAGAAGAAAACCCCCATGTTTGTCAGACATGTTTTGACCCGCAGGGCCCTTTTGGAGGGCCACACTCCCCATCTTCCAGGCTCGAAAGCACAGGCCATAATTAGCCAGGCGGTGTTAGAGCTGAGCCAAAAA